GTCTGGGCCGGGGCGGGCCGGAGCGCTCGGGAGCGGCCGGCCCCCCAGCGCCGCCCGGGGCAGGCTGGCCTGGCGCCTCGGTGTGCCCGGGAGCGCCGGCCGGGGCCCGGAGAAGCCTCCTGGGCAACAGGTATGGGCTGGGAGGTCGGAACGCGAGGGCTTTTTGCGGAGGGGCCGAGTCTCGGGTGTCTCTTTGTTGAGAAGTAGAAAAGCTTGCTGACCATTTGCTTCAGAGCCCCCGTCCTGGCAGTGGGCCTGCGGTGTTGGCCCGGCCTGGACGCGTCCTGAGCCAGAGTGGGAGCAGAGAGGAGGGTCTTGCTGCGTTCTCTTCGCACCGGCCTAAGGTGCCCACCCGAGGGAGGTCAGAGCGTACATGTGCTTAACGGGAAACAGGAAGGAGCGTCTCTGCGCGCCGCCGGCCCCCCCCCACGGCCCGGGCTCCCATACCGTTATGAGGTGTGTGGCTGGCGCCAGGAGCTGCCGGTGAAACTGGCTCTCTGCACCCTCGCTTGTTAATCACAGGCGGGGTTCCTGTGCGGGCGTGCGGGTGGCCAATGTGTAGCCTTGATCTCCTGAGCTTCCCCAAGCCTGGCTTCTGCATCAAAGCCTGATCTCAGTCACCTGAGTTGCCAGGACCAGGGGTCAGGTGAACCTGAGGATCCCGAGCCCCTCTTCCCAGAGAATTGAATCAGGGAAGGCCTCCGGTGGGCAGTCACCCCACATCTGTGTTGGGGAAGAGAATAGGGTTCTGCGCCCAGAGTTGGGGTGATTGAGTCTGAATGTGAGTGGGTGACTACACTTGTCGTGGGGCTTCTAAGGGTAAGGACTTGTCTGTAGCTCTGTCCCTTAGCTTAGGACCTGGCCTTCCCCACTGGGGCCTCTGGCTAGATTTTCACCTGGGAGGAAGGGTCTTCTCTTTCCCCTGGCACTGACCATAGTCTGGTTAGCCCTTCACTGTGTCCTCAGCATTGCCTCCAGCTGTTTCTTGTCCCTGCTGGCCTTTCCCTGCTCCTGTCATCTCATTCAGAGTTTGGGTGTGTTGGGGCCATTGGTGGGACATTCCCGGCTAGCGGGAAGCATGATGAGACCCTGGGACTGCTGGTCTTTTTATTGCCTCCCACCGACATCTTTTCCATAATCTGACCTAAACTTTGGGGCCTGCAGTGCAGCCTGGAGCAGTGACCACCTCTCTTCTTGGTTTCATCCATGGCTTGCAGCCTTCTATTTCATGACCTGCTGCAGTTGCCTAAAGAGAAAATTTTCAATAAGAAAGACTGTTCAGGCTCAGCGCCTGTGGCTCAGGCGGCTAAGGCGGCTAAGGCGCCAGCCATGTACACTCAAGGTGGCGGGTTCGAATCCAGCCTGGGCCCGCCAAACAACAATGACAGCTGCAACCAAAAAATAGCCAGGCGTTGTGGCGGGCGCCTGT